GCTTTCCGGCGCAGTGCGTGGCCTCCTCTCCTGGTGGCGGGTCAGAGTCCTGAGCCCCAGTGGTGCATCGTGGGGACTTTGTCCTTGCAGGTACACAATGACCAAGTCCTCCGCTGTCCTCTTCATCCTGATCTTCTCGCTGATCTTCAAGCTGGAGGAGCTGGTGAGGCCTCAGCTCCCCTGGTCCCTCCTCCCCGTGCAGATGCTGAGAATAAAAGGGAGGACTGAGCAGTGGCTTATCACTGTGTGTGACAGAGGAGACCAGCCCAGCCCAGGTGGCAGTAACTCCTGTCACTGACTAAGGACCTAGGACAGGCCACTGCTGATAATACTTAGCAACTGGCGTGGCAGGTGGAATGACCAAAAGAATGACCGAAGGAGAAAGGGTTCAAGGGCAGGAGCCAGGCACAGCTGGCCCTTTCCTACAGCTGAAAGAAAGCACTAGAGAAGGTTAGATCAAGTAGGGACGCTGGGTACATGTCTACGGAATGTCAGCCCTGCCTACGTGGGTGGGAAGGAGCCGGCCGGGACCCCTGAGGTCGAGGGGGAGAAGGGTTTCTTGCCCCAGGGTCAGCCAACGTGGGTACCGAGCCTGAGCCCCAGGTTCGAGGGACTCAAGGCCCCGCAGTTAGCTGCCCCTGCCCCCATCCCAATAGCGCGCAGCCCTGGTCCTGGTGGTCCTCCTCATCGCCGGGGGCCTCTTCATGTTCACCTACAAGTCCACACAGTTCAACGTGGAGGGCTTTGCCTTGGTGCTGGGGGCCTCGTTCATTGGCGGCATCCGCTGGACCCTCACGCAGATGCTCCTGCAGAAGGCGGAACTTGGTGAGACGGGGCCTCGGGGCAGCGGGCGGGGTGGGGCCAGGCCCGGCCTGACGGCTCACCCCCGTCCCCGTTCTGCAGGGCTCCAGAACCCCATTGACACCATGTTCCACCTGCAGCCACTCATGTTTCTGGGGCTCTTCCCTCTCTTTGCCGTATTTGAAGGTAGGTTGGGTTGTCCGTCCTGGTGGCACCTCGGTACAGCAGATCCCAGTCCCTGCTGTGAGCCCAGCGCTGCGGTAGCTGCCAAGGTGACAGCGGTCAGAGGTGTGGCCCGTCCCTTGGCCCGTCCCTTCAGGGGCCAGACCTGAAGCCAGATGGCTGGAATCCAGCCTGACAAACCCTTCGCAGAAGGTGTGTGTGGAAGACCGCAGATGGCAGTGACACTGGGTGCGGACAGGTGTGCCAGGGCTGTTCGGATCGTTGTACACCTACTAACTCCTTCTCCCCCAAACCTCACGTGGCCGCGCTGTCATTATGCCCGTCGCGCAGGTTGAAGAAACAAATGGAGAGATGGTAACCTTGCCCAAGGTCCTGTGGTTCACAAAGAAGCCAGCATTTGATCCCAGCAGCTGGCTCCTAGGTCCTTCCTGTTAACCGTGATGTGTTCTCTCTCTTAAAAGTGGGGGGAGAGGCATGAATTATTTCAGGATGCTCGGGTAGAAAGCGAAGTCAAAAAGGCTTCCTGGGCCACGTGCAGTCCCCCGCACGGGACTTTGACAGGCCGAGGGCGGCGCGGGAGCAGTAGGTTGGGACGGTGGGAGCGTGCGGACTGTGCGCGGCGGCCCTTGCGCAGGAGTCCGGGCAGGTGAGCGGTCTGTGAGCAGTCTGCCCACCACCGCCTCCCGGAGAGGAGAAGAGAGGGGGGCGCAGGGGAGGGGAAAGGAGGCAGGGAGAATGGTCTAGGCTGGCGGTGCACCCCATGTCCTTCCTTCCTCTCATGTTTTGAGATCAGTCTTTGTCCGCTGTCTGTCTCTCCTTCCTCCCAGAGTCCCTTCTGTCCTCAGGGTCATTTCAGAGCGTTCTGTCCCACATCCGTTTCAGTTTCAAGCAGTGAGGCGTCTCGAACCTCTCTGGAAAAATTACTCTGCGGGCCCATTGTCCAGGAAACTTCTGCAGCCTCATTTTTCTCCTTTTTAACGCCTCCCCCCTCCCGCCCCCACTTTCCTTGGGCCTCGGTGCCACGCGGCCACTACCTCCTGCCCTGGCTGTTTACGCCATTCCCCATCTCCGCAAACCCTCATCCGAGCACCCCGGTAGTCTTCACTTAGCCAAGCTGCATGGATTTAGCTCCTTTAATCTTTTCTGGTAAATTAATCCCCCAAGCGCCTTCATTACTTATGTTGCTCTTTCCTGAATTCCCTTCAATTTGCCGACGCCTTTGCAGTACCGCTGAGCCTGGCACCAGACAAGATGTCCTACATCATGAGGCTGTTTGCCCGGGAGGGACTGTCACTCTGCATTTCTCTGGTGCTTCCCTCCAAAAATCGCCAAGTGCCGGGCCAGCCTCGTCCCCCACTGCACCGCACCCCCACCCCGGGGCTCTCCGCTGTGGCTGCTCTGGGCCTTCCCTGAGCAGGCGGACCTGCAGCATCACTCTCAGATGGGCGGTGTCGGAGGCCTAGGAACCCTCTGAAAGTCAAGCAGACTTTGGTGTGTGGGTGCCCGTGCGGGTGTCTTTAGAACGAAGCTTTGTCACACGCTCGAGCGCGTGTGTGTGTGTTTTGAGAACTGTCATCACATTATACTGGCTGAGAAACCCCAGTCTAGTCGAGATGCTCTCATTTTATCACTGGGGAAACTGGTCCTGGAAGAGGGCACGTCTCAGCCTAGTGCCACAGCTGGGTGACAGCAGGCTCTGGACTAAAGTGGGGAAGGTTTGTGAGGATGAGACGTGTCCCTGTTGGTAGGTGGCCCAGGGCACTGACAGTCCTTACAGGACAGGCTGCCCGCCTCTCTCTGGCCCACCGCTTAACCACAGCAGCAAGGGCCACTTGAAGTGACCCTCCTTCCCAAGGACAGGTGTTTCTGTCCGGTTTTCCGTGCAGCGCCGCACCCTCTCCCCGAGCCTGGTGGCTCAGAGCCCTCCGCGTGGAGCCGTCACTGCTTCCCCAGCCCCACAAGTGTCAGGCCGTCTGTGTGGGGCCCGCTTCCCCGCCCGCCCTTGTCCTCAGGGCCACGGCCAGTCTGCAGGTGCTCAGGAGGCGTGGCTGCCACAGTGCCGGCTCTTCTGCTCGTGGGTGGAGTGAGGCCGCCCAGCAGGCCCACCCAGGACACGGCCTCCCGCTGTCTCCCCCCTGTGCTTCCAGGTCTCCATCTGTCCACGTCTGAGAAAATCTTCCGTTTCCAGGACACAGGGCTGCTGCTGCGGGTACTGGGGAGCCTCTTCCTTGGCGGGATTCTCGCCTTTGGTTTGGGCTTCTCGGAGTTCCTCCTGGTCTCCAGAACCTCCAGCCTCACTCTCTCCATTGCTGGCATTTTTAAGGTACAGGCTTGGGGGTGGCCCTGGTCCCATCTTAGAGTGTAGCCCCCAAGCTCCGTCACAGCCTCCGCCCCAGGGCCCTGCAGAGGAGACGGGGTGCCGCGTGAGGGTGCCGCGTGCCTTGCTCCTCCTGTCTGTAACTCTCTCCCGTCGTGGCCACAGCCCTGAGGGGTAAGGGAGGTCATCCCCGTTCCACAGATAGGCTGCTCCTACCCGCAGAGGCCCAGCCAGTGCGTGGCCGAGCTGGGATTCTGACCATCAGGCTTGGGACACATTCTCATTTGACCACGAATGCCGACTCTGGCCACCTGGCCATGGCCGGCAGCTGGGTTGAGAAGCCCCATCCAGACTCTTTGGGAAAGAGTTGGCTGATTGATTAGTGATGCCTGCCGTGCTCAGAGCTAGGGGCAGTGCTAGGTGTGAGTGCCCTGTGTTTGCCTGTCTTGCCTTCACCACTGCCTGGCCACACCCGGGCCTCTGCTCTCAGGCTTCCCCCTCCCCTGCCACCTCTCACCCCGCCCTGCTCAGGGCCAGGGGGCAGTGCAGTTTCTCCTTGATGAAGCGAACACAGGTTCCGGACTAGTGTTGCCTAAACCCAGAGCCTTGAGTCTCCCCAGGGGCTTAGACGAGCGGTGAGCTGTGGGTCTCAGAATGAGTCATCCCACAGCCCCGTCTGCAGCCACTGTGTATGACAGCCGGCATGTGAAGAGCCGTGTGGCCAGCATGTGGCCTGCAGAGCCCAGCATGACACTGCATTCCCCTGTGGCGTCGTCGGGCTCTCCGTCTGCAGGTGCAGCCGCCCTTTATTCCTGCGGACACGGCTGTGGGCTGGGCGCTCTGTGTGCTCTGCGCCCTGGCCCCGAGTCAGGGTCGCCCTGGCGGACACTGCAAACACCTGTTTTCTTACATCTTAGAAGCTCAAAAGAAGGAAAGCCCTGCAGGCAGGCCTGGTCTGGGCTCGGGGAAGCCCCTCTTTAGCCCAGCCGGCCAGCCTGCCCAGGCCCCGGGAGTCCAGGCAGGTCAGGCCCTCCCCTGTGCCGGTCCTTGCCTTCCACCCTCCTGATGCCGTGCGCTTCCCTCCTCTCTGCCCCCAGGAAGTCTGCACGCTGCTGCTGGCTGCTCACCTCCTGGGGGACCAGATCAGCCTCCTGAACTGGCTGGGCTTCGCCCTCTGCCTCTCGGGCATCTCCCTGCACGTGGCTCTCAAGGCCCTGCACTCCAGAGGTACACTGGAGCCCCTTTCAGAAGCTTCCTTTCTGATGACGGTCCCCTCGTGCCTCAGTCCCTCTGATCTCCCCTCGACCTGGCCCTGGGTCCCCAGCCACCCAGCCAAGGAGAGGCGGGTGGCTCTGGGCGTGCCCACAGGCAGTTCCAGCCTGGTGGCTGCCCCTCCGCCGGGGAGGAAGCCTTCCCTCCGAGAAGATGGGTCATCTCCGGGGAGTCGGAAGGTGGGGGGTGGGGCCCTCGGTGACTCAGCACACACGTCAGGGTGCCGAGAAACCGTGAGTGGTCTGCAGCGGGTTTCTCTCTGTCTCCAGGTGACAGTGGCCCTAAGCCCTTGAAGGGGCTGGGCTCTCACCCTGACCTGGAGCTGCTGCTCCGGAGCAGCAGGCAGCCGGAGGAGGATGACAACGAGGAGGAGGAGGCGTACTTCGTGGCCCAGGGGCAGCAGTGACTGGCCGGGAGGCCGGCCTGGATGCAGGCCTCTCCCAGCCCTTGCACCTCACAGCTCGGGGACCCAGGAGGCCCTTTGCAGCGGCCAGGGAGCAGCGGGCCGGGACTCTCCCAGGCTGGGACTTGGGGAGCGCACAACCGAGTGGCGGGGCTCGGTCGGGGAGCTGCCGAGATGGAGGGGTGAGCATCAGGCCAGAGCGGGGCCGAAGCGTGCCGGAGGCCTAGCAGGACGAGGGAAGGGCTGTTCTCAGCTGCTGCCAGGCTCGGACAGCCAAGCTGGTGATTTCCGGGGCACAGCGGGTTTCTTGGGGGACTGGGTTTAGACTGCAGAGCAGGTGGGGAGGGGAGATGGGGAGGCTGGAGCCTCATCACCTGGACAGCGTCCTTTGTCAGAGAGCAGATCTATTTATAGTTTGGAAATAAATGATATACGGTTCACTGGCCACTTTGTGTTGCCTGGGGGTGTGGGGGCCAGAGGGGGTAGCATGGGCCTCGCTCTCCTCCTCTCTTCTGGCTGGGGCTTTTTCAGATGACCGAGTGGACTCCAGGCTTCCCCGCATTCCTCTTGGGGCCCCGGCTCACCTGCAGGCAGGAACAAAATGTATTGTGGGGCGTGTAGTGCTCTCAGCCGGGATTTGAATCTTGTCACTTACTAGCTCTGTGATCTTCAGCGAATTACCTAACGTCTCTGTACCACAGTGTTTTAACCTGGGAAATGGGAAGAAGTATTTCAGAGTTACTCAGAAGATTGGGTCAGTATTGGTAACGTTAAACGTTACATAAGCATTTATTTTGAGAATGCTTTCAATAGCCATGGAACCGAGAGCCTAAGTGAGCGACGGAATGAGGGTTTACCGCCACGTCTGTGGGCCAAGTGAGTGCCCGTGGAACATAGATGGAATGGCCTCTGGGCCTCCGGGACCTGAGCGCTCTGCTCCCCTCTACACTGCAATCTTCATAAAATGGGGAGGATGGGGCAAGATCCTGGCTCTGCTGCGCAAGGGTTCTGAAGCTGGCCACCCCCACCCCACCCAGGGGCCGAGTACTTCCAGGCAGCAGTGGCTTTAGGCACTCGCAGCAGGTGGCGCCGTTGCACCACGCCGCGACACCGGGCCTGCGCCACTCACTCTCCCAGTCCAGGCTGGGGCCCTTGGGAGAGGACAGTGGCGCCTGTGGGTGGGGACCAGGATGGGGCTGGTTATGAGTTGATCTCATCACACTGGAGCCGCAGATGCTCACTCGGTGAAGCCTGGGAAAACATTTATACTTTAGAAACAAACTTTCGAGAAAGGGCCTCCTAGTCTCCATCGCAGCTTCTCAAATCAGCCATTGTAGTAGGAAAGCAGACACCGAAGGACACAGGAGCGAAAGGGCATGGCAGCCTTCCAGAGGACCTTACAAAAACAGGATTCAGGGGCGCCTGGGTGGCTCAGTACGTTAGGCACCCGACTTCAGCTCAGGTCATGATCTCATGGTTTGTGGGTTCGAGCCCCGGAGGCTCTGTGCTGACAGCTCAGAGCCTGGAGCCTGCTTTGGATTCTGTGTCTCCCTGTCTCTCTGCCCCTCCCCTGCTCACGCTGCCTCTCTCTCTCTCAGAAATAAATAAAAAACATTTAAAAAAATTTTTAAAAACAGGATTCAGCTCACAGCCTCTAGCTTGCCAACCCCTGCTGTAGGAAAACCCTTAAGAATGATTGAGACCCACCTTCTGGTTGTAAGTGAGGGAAACTGAGGCTCAGGAGGGGCAGTGACTAGCCTGTGGTCCTCCGAGCCTCCAAGCCCCGGAGGAACTAGAATGAGATCTTTTTTTTATGTTTATTTTTGAGAGATTGAGTGCAAACGAGTTGGGGTGCAGAGGCAGAGAGAGGGAGACAAGCTGAAGCAGGCCCCAGGTTCTGAGCTGTCCGCACACGCGGGGCTCGAACTCTTGAACGGCACCATGGTGACTTGAGCCAAAGTCAGGCCTGAACAGACGGAGCCACCCAGGCGCACTGGAACTAGAACATTGGCCTCCAGCGCAGGCTCTCGATGCAGACACACCTCCTGTGGAAATGGGGGGAGAGCACCACGGGGTGCCCTGAGGTTTTGCCTTATCTGGGTCTGCACCCCTGCCCCCCTCGGATCCTGCAAGCTCAGAGGCCAGGATTAAAGGAGGCTGCATGCCACACCAGATGACAGATGACGGTGGATGAGGGGAGAGGTGGCAGAGAGGAGGGGCTGGGGGCCTCCCACCTCCGCAGAGCCGCTGCCCCTGGGGCTCAGGTGGAGGAGAGCTTCCTGTCTGCCCCCCTCCATCCCCCTCTCCCCACACGAGTAGGCACCGCTGTCTGGTGCAGTAATTACAGGGTGCCTGCATATTGGGTTCAATGACAGCCCCTCACTTAGCAGCAATTACCAGCTGAGCCTGGAGGAGGCCTCCCTCTCCCCCTCCCGGCCCGTGAGGCCAGACCTCGTCCACTCAGCTTCGAGCCCTAGAAGCACCCATGCTAGCTGCAGCCATTGCATCTCAGGGCTGCAGCGTCGCCATGGCAACGCTGGAACAGGTTGAGGGAAGCTGAGGATGTGACTTGTCTCTCTAAGGCTGTGGTGTCTGTCCCCACACAGCCCCCGACGACCGCCAGGGCTTCTGCAGAGGAGGGGGTAGGGAGGAGGGCTGACCTGCAGGTTCAGGTTTTAAGTGCTTACATGCCCACCGTCTCTCCCCAGAGCCTGCGGCGGAAGGAAGGTTAATGCCCCTAATATATGACGGTGTCTGCAGCCGGGGTTCTGTAGCCGGGTTCGTGGAGGGGTGGGGAAGCAGCTGGGTTTGCCGGTGGGACCCGAGACAGGAGGCGGGGTCTGAGATGCCTTCGTCTTCATGCCAGTCCCCTTCCCTGCCTGGGTTTGGGGGGGCCACCTCCATCTGCTTCTGCTCCTTCCGAGAAAAGCCTGAAAAGCCCAGTGGCTTGAGAGTGGAGACTTTGGCACCAAGGGAATTGTCTTCATGGTGCTGACCACTGCCCTCTGTGCCATTGAGTCATGTTGGACCGAGAGGGGTCCCCAGTTTGCAGTCCAGAGGACGCGGTGGGGACTCCCAGACCATCCATTTGGGTCAGCCACACTCAGCGAGCTCTGGCTGCCTGCGTGCCGGACGCTGTGCTGGACTTGGATTAGGGTTGTGTGTCCTTGGACAGCGAGCGAATGGGGCCGCCCTTCCAGTCCCAGGGCAGCTTTGAGACAGGGGACGAGGGAACTGGGGGGGGACAGACATCAGGATGCACATTCATGGGGCACCCTCGGGGCCTCTCGTACAGGTTATTTGTCCCTAATGGCCCCATGGGTAGGGACTGGTTGTACCTATTTCAGAGCTGTGGGATGAAAGCTCGTGGAAGACGTGGAAGACGAGCACCACGGGGACTGAGAGCAGCCTCGGGACCCTCCCAGACTTGCATTTACATCTCGCAGCCTGTGATGAGGTGTGGGTCTGGGGCACGATGCCGAGCCTGTCTCCTCGTGTGATGGGAAGGAATAATAATAATCCATATCTCGTAATGAAGCTATTGTACGGATGAAAGAGAATCCCCTAGGTAAAGCGTGAGCACAGTGCTGGGCACATACTAGTGACCACTCAGCGCATGTCGGCGGCAAGGGTGTAACGTCACTTGCCGGGTAACAAAACGAGAGAGCGGTGAGCATGGCAGCCCTGCCCTTCAAGGTCACCATCCTTCCTGCAATGCCTGGGGCTGTGGAGACACTTACTAGATACTTGTTCTGTGAAGGAATTTCCAATAGTGGAAACTGAAGGGGATTTTCCAAGTTCTGGGGACCCCGGTCCAGCTTCTAAATGATTCCCCTGCAACAACATGCTGCCCTCCCCGGCACCCTCCATCCCTGCCGGCCTCCAGCGTCCCAGCCATCCCTGGGAGCCTTCACCCTACCCACACAGCCCTGACATCTGCCAGGCCCCTGTGCCCCCCGCATTGTAGCGACCGGTTAGCCTGACTTCTGTTCCCATGGTTATTTACAGCTTGGTTGGCAGCTAGTGCATTTCCCAGAAACCGGCCCACGGCTCTGGCTCCTCTGGCATCCTGCTGGCAAGGCTGTCTGTCCCCTTCTCCTGGGTGCCCTGAGAACTCTCCCCTTGGGACAGCAGGGAGACAGAGCAGAGAACCAGGAGAAAACGCACGAAGATGTACTCCATACATGTTTCTGGAGCACCCGCAATGCACCCTGCGCAGCGAGAGCCGCGGGAGACACAAAAATCCCGAAGAAGACATTGTTGCTGACCTCAGGCAACTTCCGCGGCGCTTTTGAATCCACAGGCTTCCCCAGGAAGTCGACTCAGAGCTGGAACTGGGGATGTAGGACGTTGTTTAGAAAGTGCTCTGGGGAAAAACACCTGCGGAAGAGAGAAGCAGGACGAAGGTCTGGGCAGAGGAAGAAGCCCAACTTTGAGGCAGGCCCAACAGAGAGTTCTAGAGAGGGGGTAACCCTGTGGACTTGGCTCACGTGGGCGGGAGAGGTTGGAGCCTTTGCAAGTCCACACTGATCTGTCACTGGAATGACACAGGGAGCCTACCCCTTGGAAGAGGGCATGCCTCTGGGGAGGCACTTTTCTTCCCATCAGCACAATCTCCGTGGAGGGCTGCCTTCAGCCATGACCCCAGCCGCAGCACCTGAGGGAATCAGTCATTTCCCAGCCTTCCCGGCCCCCGAGGTCCACAGCCTCACTTCAGCGATGACCAGAAATCTTTGAAGAGGGAAGTGACATGGCATGTATGCGTATGTGCATTTTTCTGGGGGAGTGACCTTGACCCCCCCAAAAATTAAGAGCCACTGGTCACAGGAAAGCCAGGCTTACCTGAGACTTCAAAACAACACAATCAGAGGTACAAAATATAGCTACTGGATAAATATGAATGAGGGGATGGGTAGATGCCTGGGTGGGTGGGTGGATACCCGTAGATGGATGGGTGGGTGGGTGGATGGGTTGTTGGGTGGGTGGATGCGTGGATGGGTGGGTGGATGCCTGGGTGGGTGGGTGGATGGACGGATGGGTGGGTAGATGGGTAGGTGGGTGGGTGGGTGGATGCTATAATAGAAGAATGTATGGGAAGGACAGAAAGGGGAACAACCAATTCTTCCTGGGGCAGGAGGAGAGTAAAGATTCTCAGGAGGAGCTGACCCTTTTGAAGACTAGTCTTGGGGCACCTGGGTGGCTCAGTCGGTTAAGCGTCCAACTTCGGCTCAGGTCATGATCTCGCGGTTTGTGGGTTCGAGCCCCACATCCAGCTCTGTGCTGACAGCTCAGAGCCTGGAGCCTGCTTTGGATTCTGTGTCTCCGTCTCTCTCTGCCCCTCCCCCGCTTGTACTTTGTCTCTCAGAATTAAATATTAAAAATAATTTTTTAAAAAATGAAGTCTAGTCTTAAAGGCTAAATCGGAATTGCCCAACAGATGAAG